GCACCGCAGGTATTGTCGGACTCTCATAAACCGTCCACAAGCCTTTTAACCCCAAGAGCACAAAACCAATTTTCACAACCCTTACAGCACTCACTTTACAACTCCCTCCCCGTACAAAGCTTTGAAGACAAGGATTGAAGCCACCTCCGGGGCTTTTGCCGCATTGCTGGAGGACTGGGACTGCGCCGCAACCTGCAAACTCGTGGTTGTTGATGCGCGGCAAGTTTGAGAATCGATCTCAAGTAAAAGATCAATGTCTTGGGTTGCGTACAATCCCACCATAATCAGAAGGTTATCAAAAGTGGGCCTTGAAGACCATTTCTTAGGTCAACTTCTCCTTATAATTAGCAGCGAGGATTCGGAAATTCAGCTCAGGGCGGCTCAAGGTTCTAGAGACTCCCTTGTGTCTAGCTTCAATTGTTTTCAGATTTGGGAGCTTTAGGGGCTTAGAGGTATAGGATGTAAGGACTTTTTGGTTTTGTTGAGTTGGGCCTCAGAGTCAGTAGCTTTTGCATGCTGATTCAGAGGGCTCGAAGGGCGGTTTCTGACGGACGACAGCTGCAAATTGGTCTGGTGAGTTCCTTCGTGTAGAGCCATGATTTTAACTTGAATTTCGGCTGCTCGGCTTGTCGAGCAAAGGGCTCGCAACTGAGCTTTTGGGGTTCTCAGTCTGCTTCGCGGGAGACGATGAGAAAAAACCAGGGGACGGACGGCGGCTGGGGCGACCCAGGCCTTACAATGTACGAGGTTGCGCAGACTTAAAGGTGTGGTTTGGGGGAACCTGCGGAACCTCACGGAGCAGTTGACAGTTGTACCAAACTCCGAGCGCGTCTCCCAGGATGGCTCGGCTGTTGCTTCTGGAGGCAATCCGTACTGAAGTGCCATTCCTATGCTCCCGTTGGATTGCAGAGGACGGATCAGTGCTCGCCTGGGGCGATCCCGAGCCTTGGCACAATGATCCTACATGCTGCAACATGGGATTAAGTAGCACGGAAGGTTTGACCCCCAAACAGTTTACTTGAGAGCTTCCTGTGAAGTTGAAAGAGAGCGCCGACATTTCACGCTAGGGTGGCCAATGCTGGGGTTTTCAATGTGGGTGAGCGGCAAATGCAGGTTTTGTTCGATGCTTGCTTCCCCTTGCCACTTTGTTTGGGATCGGGGCGACAAATGCCGAGAGAATGAGAAAGCGGTGTCAACGAGCCGAAAGGGACCATAAAGTGCGAGAAACAGGAAGAAACCGCTTGACAAGCAAAACGCTCGAAAGCAAGAGAGTGCAGAGAACCTGGCAAAGAGAAGGGCAAACCGCTCGAACGAGATTAGACCGATAAAGAGATGCCAGCCGCTTCAAACCCACGTCCCGTAGAGAAGTGTGTGGAAAAGGAAGCCGCTCGAAAGGGATTAGATTAGTTTAGATTTTGGGCAAAGTAGCAAATCGCCCGAACGAGACTGGAGATTTTGAGAGGGGCAAATCGTTCAAAAGAAACTGAAAGGTTTCAGAAACAGTACCCTGAACTCTAAACCCTCAACCCTGGAGCAAAAACATCGGAAAACGCGGGAAGGAGGCGATAGAACATCTGAGAAAGAGGAAGGAACAAACCGCTCTAACGGGACTGAAGAAGTTGAGCAAGAAGCACAACCCTCCCGTCAGAGACTAGAGCAAAGCTCTCGAAAGCGAGCAGAGAATTTGACAAAGTCATCAACAAGGAGAAAACTGTTCGACAAAAAAACAGAGAAGAAGGAGAATATGAGAAAGAAGAACAAGCCAGTCGAAAGGGACTAGAAAGCGTGTGAGACAGGAGCAAACAAGGGCTGTTTGAGAAGAGTTGCAAAGCAGTTCAAGGGGAGGAGACGAGTTATACAATCACCGCAAACCGCCGCGTCCAGACTAGAGAATTTGACGAAGAGGAGACATTGAGAAGCAACAGGGACTGGCAAACTAGAAAAGCAGAAGAATTTGCTAAGGAGGAAAATGTGTGAAAGAGGAGGGAAGCATTCGAAGAGAGAAGAATTGTGCAATAGGAGCAGAATTGCGAACTAGGATCAAACCACTCAAGAGAAAGGAGAGAGTTAGAGAAACTGGCAAGAGGAAACATTAAGAAAGAAGAGCAACCTAGTCCAAAAGGACAGGAGCACGCCGCTCGAAATAAAAGGGTAAAGAGTCGGGGAAAGACTAGAGAATTTGACAAGGGAAAAGTCTGACAAAAAGGATCAAACCAGTCGAGCAGGAGGAGAGAATTGACACAGCCACCCGAGAAAGACTTGAGTGACTGGAGATGTTGAGCACAAGGCGCAAACCGCTCAAAGGTAGAGGGAGCAAGACATTTCTAGCAACTGGAGCAAGCCGCTCGAAAAGCACTTCAGAAGTCGACGAACACGAGGATTTGATACCGGGGAGCAAACCACTCAAACGTGATCAGAGAAGTTCGGTTTCGACACCTCTCTCCCTTCATTTAGGCTCCTGACCTCGGTACCAGGAATTGCTGTGCTCTCGGTGGTGCAATAGGATCTTGTAAACCATGGTATACTTCGTTGTATTCATACAATGCAGTATGAGGCATGCAACAAAATTCTGTTTACATATTTGTATACAAACTACACATGTGTGCAAGCATGCATCTATGCACGTACTGTGGAGATAGTGTTTTTGTCGTTGCCATTGCATTCTTCTGGGTCGTGGTCTTCAGTGATTTGCCTGCCTGTCTCGACAACCCAGGACCAAGGCGGTGATTGCCGTGCTTTGCGGAAGAAGCTCGTCAACGTGCGGTGGATCGTCTTTAAAAGGAGTGCTTGAGGATCGACAACGATCATACTCAGGATTGCATGATGGATAACAGTACCTAGATCGTGATATAACAAAATACCAAGCAGTCCAGGCGAGGTTGACTCGGCAGCTGTCTGTCCCGCCGTGCCAGTGTTGTGTGGAACAAGATCTTAGTCTTGTCCGGAGCGTCGACTTGCTAGTGTGGCTCATCAATCATCAGTGCTGAAGCAAGGTTCAGCCAACCGAAGAGTGTTTGTATGTAAAGGTCGACATCTGGGCTGAATTTCTTGCCAGCTACTGCTCTAAGCTGCTAAAAGCCGTTAAAACTGCACTTTGTGAGAAAGCTGCACAGACTCCTCCAAAATTTCATACCCAAACCCTGACACCTGCTTGCAGGGAGCTTCGGGCCAACTCGGGTGCCTTTGCTGCCCTCCGACATGATGGCTGCGTGGCGGCCCGGCAGTGTGCAATTCATTCTGTTTTACGAAGATTGTATGAGAGTTTTTTTAACTTTTACACATACACATGCATGCATGCATGC